AGAGAGAAAAAATTCTTAAATTTAGTCTTATAATTATTAAAGCGTAAGAAAAAATATCGCTTATTTAAGTTCGCTCGATAGTTGAATAGCTTTAATTAAAAAATAGATATATATTATTTAATTTTAGAATAACTCTTTTATTTTCTATTAAAATTTTAAAATTCTTTTTTTAAATTATAGAACGAAATATAAGCTTTTAGAAAAAAAGAAATTCTTAAATTTAGTCTTATAATTATTAAAGCGCAAGGAATTTAAATATCGCTTATTAAAGTTCGCTTATTAAAGATAGCTTATCTATTTACTCGATAGTTCTAATAAAAAAAATTATAAATTTAATTTATAAGTCTTTACTCGTTATATTATTATAAGATAGTAAATTATAGAAATTAGTATTTTAAAGATTATAAATTCTAGTAAATACGAGTATTATATATAGCTTCTTACGACGCTTAAATATAAGATAATCTTTTAAGAGAAATATACTTATATAATAAGCTATTTTAAAGTCGAGTACGTTTTATACTTCGTTTTATTAAAGAGATTTAATAATAGTTTTTATAATATTCTATATAATCTTTAGAGTTAATAATTTAATAATTTAATAATAAATAATAATAAATAGCTTCGTCGATCGTTATCTTATAAAAATACTTTATATAATATAAAAAGTATTTTTATAAGCTTTATTACCTCTTTAAGTCGTAGTATAAAAATCGAGTTTTACGAAATATTAATAAGATTTCGAAACTCTAAGTATAATTAGAGTCTTAGAATTTTCTTTATTCTACGAATACTATAGCTATCGTATCTTTATATCTTATTATATTACTTTTTAAATATATAAGTAATTTTAATTAAGCGTATTTTAATAATTTAAAAATTATAATAATTTAATCTATACTCGCGATGATATTAACTATTTAGAGATAGAGACTCGAATAGGTGCTTCGGGTACTGTTAGGGGTCCGGGTACATTTAGAACTTCGGGTACTATTAGGGCTTCGGGTACTGTTAGGGCTGTCGATAGTGAGTATTTTACTTCGCTCGAGGTATTACCTTATTAAGTTAGCGGCCGAGAAGTAGAGCTAGTTAGTTTTATAAGAAAACGCGAAATACTAGAAAATGCGAAATTTCTAAAATTAATAAATTCGATCTAATACTTAAATATTTACTTCTCACTAAAATTGTATAGTAACATTGTATAATAAAGATGAAAAATTCTGGTTCTTTCTTGCTATTAAGGCTTCTATATCGGAGAACTAATTTATCGTTTTTTAGATCTTATCGATCTATCACTTCGTGAAAATCGTATCTTTTCTTCTCCTATCTCTTCTTCTACTATCTCTTCTTCTACTATCTTATCTCTTTATTTTATCTATCTCATCTATCTCATCTATCTTATTTATCGCTTTTATCTCTTTTATCTTACTATTATTATTACGATAAAGCTTACGAAAGAGCTTATAGAGAAGTTTACGAGAGAGCTTTTAATATAGTAAAGAATAGTAATCTTAATAGACCTGACGTGAGAGATATAGTAGCCTTTTTTTTAACTAAATTTCTATCTCTTTTTATATTTTTAAAAATAGCTAATTCGATATAATAATATTTTTAAAATTCTTATTTAAATTACTTTATAGCGAAGTTATTCTATTATTATTAAATAATATTAAGATTTATAATTTATACTTTATCTTAATATACTTATTTACGCTTAATCTTATTTTTTATTTATCTATCTATCTTAATAAGATTATTATTAATAGTTTTAAATAAGATATTAATAGCGAGAGCTAAGCTAATTACTTTACTAAGCTTTTCTAATATTATAAGATTATAATTTCTAGTCTTTATTTATTAAAATAGCTAATAAACTTATTTTATATTTACTAATATATAGAATATAAAAACTAAGTTATTATTAAGTATAATATCTATAGATATATTTAATAATAAACTCGACGATAATTCTAATACTTTAAATTTATATTTATTAAGAATAAGTTAAAGTTAGATTAAAAATAAACTACTCTTTTACTATATATATTTAATATTCTATTTCATTATAATATTCTTTTTTATTATTTAAATTATTTGAATAAAGTCCACTTTATCTATTAAGTAGCCACTTTTATACTTTATATTTTCCTCTAGATATTTACGATATACAGTCGTTAAAGGTAAGAAAAATCCGATATTAAGAAGTTAAAGAATATATATAAAATAAATAAATAAATATAAGAGAAAAATATCGTTGCTAATATAAAACTATATAACTTTTATATTAATATATAATATATATTCGTTATATATAAAAAGATAGTATTATTCTCTAATTATCTATTGAGTCTATAGTTCAAAGCTTCTATAAGAAGTAAGTCAGACGCTTTTTCAAGGAGCACTTCTCTTACTAAATTTATATGAGGGAATAGCTTACTTGATAAATTAATTTAAATCTAATACATTATTTATTTAACTAATTTTACTTATTTTAATTTATATAATTATATTCTTTATAATATTATATTAAGTCTTTATATAACATTTATCTTTAAAGATAATAATTAATATAAGAAGTCTTTTATTAGCGAATATATATTTAATAAAAGTTACCTATTCTCTACTCCCATTCTAAGTTTTATATATCTATATATTATACTTAAAGATAACGACTTTCATTCTATTAGTAGAATTAAGAGTAATTTCTTTTTATCTATATTATATATATCTTTCTCTTAAATATTATACTTCTAGATCACTAACTCTATAAGTCGAAATTACCGTAGTAGTTTTACTAGATTATAAGTTATAAATTATTCTTTATTTAATAGCTAACTATATCGACTTCGTAGCTCTAGATAACGTTTTAGAAAGCTAATTACTAAACTTATATCTAGCTCTTTATAATCTTTCTTTACTATTAATCTTTCTCTAGCTATATATTAAATAAAGATAACTTTTAAAAATTAATCTTATTCTATTATTTATAGAATCTATAAACTTAAAACTTACTTCTCTATAAAATTTAATTATTACTTATTCTTATATACTTCTTAATAAAGATAAGTCTTTTTATTAATATATTAATTAAGAGTAAAATTATAAGATTATAATATAATATAATTAATAAAATAATAGACTTCTTTTTATAAGGCTCTTCGCTAAGTTTATAGACTATAAAAACTTAATTATACTTATTAATTACGAGATTTAAATATATCTCTTTAAATAATTTCTTTAAAGTCTTTAAAGAAGTTATAATAAGAAGAAATACGATTTACTCGCTATATGAGACTATAAATTAAGTTCTTTTCTTAGCCTTCTAAATTATTTATTCGATAAATTAATTAATATAGAGAGACTTATATATATCTCTCTATTTTAGATTAAAAAGACTTATAGAAAGACTTATAGAAAGATTTATAAAAAGATTTATAGAAAGGCTTATAGAAAGACTTATAAAAGGCTTATATATATCTATTTTAAATAATAGAAGATGCCTTACTTATAATATTAATAGACTATCGCTAGAATCTTAAATATCGTATTTTTAAATAATTTAAATTTATTCGAAGTCTTTAGAAAGTCTTTAAAAATCTAATTTTTTTATATCTAGAAATTAATTACTTAGATTCTAATATTTAATAATTACTTTATATAAGATCTATCGAGTACGCTATCTATATTATTCTATTTATAAAGAATTTTAAAAGTTATATCGCATTAATATTCAATTTTGCTATTATCGTCTAATATTTTATAGCGATTTTATAAATATAATATCTTAAGAAGAAACTTATTTAATATTAATTTAAGAATTAAAGTTTACGACTCGATTTAGCTTAAAAATAATTAAATTAATCAGAGCGTATTATTCTATAATTTCTTTTTCGCTTAAAGATATAGTATTAAATAGTTATCTTATAGCAAAATATATCTATAGCTATTATTTCTTCATTTCTTCACCGAATCTCTTTAAAATTAAAGTTCTTTAATATTATAATATTAGATATTAAGACTATTACGTAAGATATATTATAATTCTTATCTTATATAACGTTTTAAAGTATTAAAAAAGAAGTTTAAAAGTTTATTTAAGAGTAAATTAATAGAGATCTAATAAATTTTAGATATATATATATAAATATTAGCTATAAATTAGAATAAACTATATACTAATAATATAAACTCTCTTATAGTTATAAGAAATCAAATATTAAGTTATTATTTTCGAAATTATTTTCGAAATTATTTTCGAAATTATTTTCGAAATTATTAAAATATTTAATAAACTTAAATTTATAATTATACGTCGAGAGATTAATTACTAGTTAGATAATTTATAATATTTTTAATAAATATTCTATTATATTATATAGTTTAAATAAAATATCGAATATTACTTAGATATATATATCGCTAGAATAAAAATAAACTATATCTAAGTTTAAAATAGAGATATCTACTATATTAAATCTATAGACGATAATTATAATATCGTAGTATTAGTTATTATAATAGACTATAGTAGTAGATTATTTGAATGAGTGATAGTGGTAGCCATGATAGTAGTAGCCATCTAAGTCGGATTTATCGGATTTAAAAATTTCGCATTTCCTAGTATTTCGCGTTTCCTCATGAAACTAGCTACTCCCGCATTCAAAACATTTTGAAATATTAATGAAAAATGTTGCTAAACCTCCCTATTGATTGGTGAAAATTCCCTGAAAGCGCATTTCCTTGAGACTCAGAAAGTCGTGAAGAAATAGAAACATCACAACCCAACGCTAGATCCATTTGAGACAGGTCCAGAGGCCGCAATGTGCCGGCGTGAGCTAGCAGCAGCTCTTTCAGATTGACATCAGACCCCAAAATGCCCTGAAGCTTGAGCGTAGTGAGGTTTGATGCACCGAAGTGAGTAGGGTCGACCAACATCTCTCATCCGACAGAGTTGAAAGAGTCAAGGGTTATGGGAGCAAAAGCATCTTAACGGACTGTCATTAGGACCAAAGCTGATGTCCACAATCCCAGAAAGCTTCAATCTCCTCGCCGTGATAGTACCGACAGAATCTCTGATAGTACTGGTGTAGCTCGTCTGTCGTGACACTCTCCATACGTCTTTCGATTTCATCGCATTGCTGCGATGCCATTTGGCCCTGTCCAATCCTCTCCTGGTACCATCTACCGTAATCGGCCTCGCCGTCTCCGTGCCAGAGCGTCTTTCCACTGTATGCGAGAGCTTTGACAAACTTAGCCAGATGAGGCTTGGACCTAATCAAACGGACCTTGCAGAAACTGTCCATGTTCCTTCTGGAAGGTATCTGACGGAAAAGAAATACCTTGGCGGCATTGTCGAATTCCTTAGAGACAAGGCGCACGCTCTTCAACTCGGGCCGGGCCAGAGACCTGAAAATCATCTGCAGAATCTCCTGCGGTACAGTCGCGATGAAGGCTGGTGGGATGTTGCTTGCGGCCATGAGGAAAGTGAAGGCTAGCGAAGAGGCAAGGGTTGCGTAGGAGTGATCACTTGTGGAGGAGCGTACAGTTCTAGGCGTAGGGAGTGGTTGTGAGGAGCGTCAGTTGGCCGTTGGGGATGATGTTGTAGAACGGACGTTTCACAGGAACTGAACTTCTCTCCTCACCTTCAGCAGTCTAAATGAAGAGTAGCAGCGGAGGCTAAAAAGTTGACACGGACCCGGATAGCAGTCTCAGCCTAGTCTCTCGCATGAAGACTCCCCCACAACCTTCCATTCATACTGCTTCCAGCCAAGCCCTTGCGCTCCTCAACGCTACATGATCTCACCGCCTCCTTTCTCCTCGGCCAGTACATTGCTATCATAACTCGTAACCGCAACTGAAAAGTGCCTACTGCAACACAACCTTCACAAAATCTATCCCCGGACACGCGAACAAGCCGAACGGTCATCTCATGTACCTGGGTTCTCGATGCTATGACAAAAGGTCTCGTTGATAGACAATCAGCTTGGTACGTGTCCTCTTCAGCGGCAAGATTATGATCCATCTCCCCACCTGCTTTCGATAGATTAGTCGGCGCTGGCGATGCAGAACCCCACACGCCTCCCATTCCAGAACCAGGCTCGACTATGACGACTCGTCAACATTGTACAGGATGTGGTGGTTCAGGCTATCATCGTTTCAGGCACAAGATCTTTTAGTCGGCCTATGGCTGAAGGTTCACCTCGGGTATCTTATATCCTATCCGGCGTTAAACAGGCGTCCTTGAGATTTCGCTCGGCACTACTGGATGGAGATTGACTGGGAGATGTTAGTGACACTGGATTCACAATCCGTTCAGCAGACCCAGATGTGAAAGGGTGAAGATTTGCGAGATCCACACCCCTGGCCGTAAGATACCGACAAGAATATACTTCATTACACCCTGCGTGTTTTCAGTTGGACCAGTGGTGAGCCTAACTTCTGCTTGCTGGTCGAACACCCTTCAGCATATAATCAACTGGCTAGTGCCTAGCTCATCACTTCGGACGTCTGACTTCTGGATCTCTCTTGTTTCCTTGCTTGGGCGGATAGGAAGCGCTTTCGTAGTATAGCGATCAATGCCAGCCACCGCCGCGAATTTTCACGGCATTGTGGAGTATTCGGGAGGAAGAAGTCGATCTGGGCTTAGACCGGTTTCGGTGACCTTAAAGATATCGGCTTTGTGATAGGCCTCGTGGGCTTCAAGCTCACTGTAAGCAGTGTCTCGATTCGAGTCAAAGAAGGTATATGTCGGATTGAGAGTCTGGTGACAAGGGGCGGCTTCGAGAGATGATCTCACTCTTTGCGTACGAATTTTATCTCTCCTGTGACGCGCAATGCTCGAAGTGGTCACTACCCAGTGTTCTGGCCGTTCTACACCAACGACTTTGCTCGCGTGAAGCGTCCATAAAAATTTTGTCCGTAGGGTTCCACGGAGGGAGACCTTGGAGCCGCGTGTTGAGGAAGTAGCTCACATCACCGTCGAAGCTCAGGTTGGGAACCTCTACGGAAGTAGCGTCTGCAGCACACAGCCAATGATGATTCACCGCTCCCTTCGAGCCTCCCGCGGTTCAATATGTTGGAAATTTATGAAGGATGAAGGATTGATTGATTAGGTAGCTATGAGAGTGCTGAGTGGGCTACTTATATCCCTATTTGCCACAGGTGCTGCAGCAAATCTCAACACAATGTCACCTGGTTGGTCTGCTTTCTCGAAACAGACAGTGGATTTTTGGTGAAAATTAGATGATATTCTAGTTCTTATAAAAGAAAATAATAGTTTCCAACAAATGGTTTTTGGCGTGCTCGCGATTCAATTCAGATGCATTGCTGGCCTCCGCATAAGCATGAACTATAAGACAGATTCCTTTGCTGCGATCGGCGCAGGTACCAAGGATGGAAGGAGGGGATAAGGATGCGGAATGTGAGACGCGTTAAGCCTGCAGTCGAGATTTCGTAAAACGCTTTACATTCGAACATCCTCACCGTCGAGCCCGAAGTTTAGGGCATTGACTGAGTTGAGCAGAGCTCTATCCTTTCGGTCGTCACTTTCGTCATCACCATTCCATTCCACTTTTCTGTCCACGTTATACTCATATAACGCGTTGAAATCCTCCTGCAGGCGGCCAACAAGGATCCTATCCAACCACAGGCCCGGCCGCCCTCTCCGTATCGGCCATGTGTGGTACTCCTTCTCGTAAAACTGCCGCAGAATTTTTCGAAACCGAACAGATGCCGCTCGAACAGTCGGCGACATGTCTTCCTGGGAAAAATGGGCGTCATTGAAGTAGAACGTGGATAAGTGATCTTCAGCTTCATGGATGCGTGCTTGAAGCTCGAGATGCGCTCGATCCAGATGCGCTGTTGTTGGTAGGCTGATATCAGCACTTTCTTGCAGATGACTGAGTTCCTCGTACATGCCAACGCTGTGCACGAAATTGTTTGAGTCAGCTTTTCTCGTCTACTACAAGATAAAAGGTTGAAGAAAGTGTTGCTCTCGAACTATTTCTGGCAAGTTTCGCAGTCTAGCGCAGTAATGGCGAGACCGACTTTGTAATGTGAACAACCAAAGCAGAAAAAACGACTCGGAGATACACTTACGCCTCGCGGCATCCGTTGTTCCATCTCACATCTTCACTCCAAGGCAGAAGACCTGCCGCAGCCCGAGGCTCATTCGGTACGTTCACAAGACGAACCATATTCAGGTACGATTGTAGTGCAACCGCACAATCAATACTTGGTGACAAACACTCCTTCAGACGCTCGTACAGATCAACGAGTACCTGGTAGAGTGTGATCCCCACCAACGGTTTTCGAATCAGAAAGGCTAGAAAATATCTAGTCGTAACGTGGTAGCGCATAACGTCAACTTTTGATCCTCCAGAATGGGCATCCATATACAGCTTGTACTGCACTCCTGGGGTGTGATTCTCTTTGGAGCCTTCGGTTTGGACCGTCCCTCTATCCAGCATGCCAATCAGGGTTGCCGACTTTGTGTCTTCCATCAGACTTGAACATATTCAAAAAGAAGGGCCTCCATATCCACGACCAAAAAATATCAGTGTATCCCCGCATTCATCCCAGAGCTCAGGGTCTCGTGACGAGTCAGCCACATCCCCACGACATCAAACACAAATTCGACCATACGCTGAAAATCGATGTAGAAGCCAGCGGAGCTGACATCAAGCACTACTGCTCTCGTACGATCCGGGAGAGCGAAAGTGCCCCAGAGTTAAAGAATGACTAGTTGATGCAGCAAGTAATGGCAAATATAGCAAGCAGGGCTCATGGGGTGTAAGCGACGGCATTCTCCAGGCTGTTCGCCTGATCCGCCGCTCGCGAGCCCGTTGCCCGCTGCCTGGGCTATCTGAAGCATGATAGGTTCCTACTGCCGGTCCTCCAGATACGGACTATACTGGAAGCCATGACCAAGCCAGAGATCAAAGCGTCGTTGAGCGACTTATCAGCCAATCTTGCCAAGCTTATGAGAACAAAATCCGAAGGATCGACAACGACCCCCAGAATCGTCGGCAAGTTGCTAGTCAAGCCTTGATGTGGGTGTCGCACACACGTCGGCCTCTCCAAGTCGACAAACTGTGTCACGCACTGGCTACGAAACTTGGTGACACGGTGCTTGACCAAGACAGCCTTCTATCGCCACGATCTACAATCGAGAGCTGTTCTGGATTGATCGTCCTAGACGCTGACAGTTCGACATTCAGACTTGTTCACTACACCTTATAGGATTAATTGCAATCTTGGCGACCTCAGTTGTTCGTGGAGAAGGAAAAACTCATGACTCAAGTCCTCATCACGTATCTTTGCATTGACGAGCCATCGGAGCATGGTGTTTCAGGCCTCGATCAATGGCTACTCGTATGCTCCCCATTTCTAGGATACACTGTGGGAATTGGGATCACCATGCAAAGTTTCGCAGCCTAGCGAAATTAAGGAGCTTGCCTTAGCGTTTCTCAAAAACGCACCCAAGACAGATGTCAACATCGTCGTTGTGCAGCCAGCAAGAGAATGGCGAGCGTAGTGAGCCAGTGCCTAGACCGTAGAGTAGACATCGCTGCACGAACCCTAAACGGCAAACAGCGCTCCACAATAGTTGCAAGAGCGGGAACTTAGGGACTGTGCGGATGCTCCTGGACGCAGGGGCGAATACAGAGACCCAGGACAATTGGTGCCAGCGACCACTCCATACCGCCGCTGCTGGAGGCTTCCAATATCTTGCGGAGCTTCTGATGGCCAGCAATGCTGATTCAGAAGCCAGGAACAAACATTTCTGTACACTGCAAGCATGTGATGCCGTGGCTGCCAAACACCCTCTTGTTGAGTACTTGCGACAAACAATTCATGACCCTTACTTGATTTGTAAGACTTGAAATGAAGGTGGAAGGATTGAGATACTGCAGACGGCTGTCGCTGGCGCAGAACGGATTGGAATATCAGGTTCTCATGTGGTGCTCTTATCTAGTATGAGCGTGACCAAATTGATGATGTTGTACGTAAGATTGGCTGGTAACGGTGCGTCAAAACAGGGAAACGTGGAATGAATTAATATTATGCATCTTTTGAACTAACACTACTGCAGAATGTTATCTGTTCGAAGATCCGAACATCTTCTATGTCACGGCAGTAATGCAGAACCCTTGGATAGAGCCCAGCTTAGTGTCCTTACCAGAAGAAGAACCCCTCAGGGATTTGGCCCTAGGAGCACAACCAAAGACAACCCAAGTTGAGAGCAGAGGGTCTGGGTCCTACCAGGCGCGCAACATGGAGATATGGGCACATGTTAACAAGTGTGGGGATCAAGGTCGGAAAGCCATACCCTACTATTCCGCCCCGAACTCTGCCACCCTCCGAGAACCAGATGGAGGATTTTGCTTGTTTACAACTCAAGTTCAACAAGTGTAGAACGAAGGCTTTGCCTCCTTGAACTTTCGAGTCAAGATGCGGTCCACAGCCTCGCGTGTGGCGACTTCGGTAGGCTCCAAGCCAAAGCCACACGAAAGCTCCCATAGCGAAGTCAGCGATTTCGCAGCATCTTTTATCAAAAAGTCCGCAAATCGCAAGCGCGCAGATTGGTAGTAGAGAGCGTGGCCGATATTTCGGGTGTTGATGCGCATTGCGCTCGCCGCAGCGATGTTCGCACTCAAACCCGGGGCTCGCAAATGTACCCGGAGTTCGCATACGTTGAAGATAAATAGAAGAACATCCCTTAGAATACCTCCTTGAATGGGGGGTAGACTTGGATAATTGCGAGTAGTGCCTTTCTAGAGTCAAAACTTCCATTTAGCAGGACACTATGTCAAACCTCACGACCTCCACTAGCGGCAATCAGACCCTCATCTTGGATCCCAACCTATGCACACTGCAGACGTGTGATTTGTCTTTAGCAAGTTTCTCCTACATCCCGAATCTTGCTGCAAATGCTCTATACTTAGCGATCTTTGCCATTTTATGCTTCGTGCAGCTCGGACTTGGTATTCGTTATCAGGTATGGGGCTTCATGGGTGCCATGCTTTTGGGCTTGGTATGCACATTAGCCTTTTCAACACAGCCGAAGAAGATAGCTGATTGGTCGACAAGGCACTCGAAGTCATTGGATATGTGGGACGCGTCCTCGTTCATGTCAATCCCTTCGACAACAACGCCTTCCTCATCTACCTCATCTGCGTAACTATAGCACCGGCTCTTCTGACAGCCGCCATCTACCTCTGCTTGGCACGCATAGTGACTGTTTATGGCGCTCATCTCTCATGGATTAGACCTCGGACGTATACCCTCATCTTCTGCAGTTGTGATCTTCTCAGTCTTGTACTGCAAGGCTTAGGGGGTGGCATCGCAGCAACCGCTAATTCGACTTCGGGGAAGAATCTCGGCAAGAATATCATGGTTGCTGGTCTCGTTTTCCAGGTGGCCTCATTGCTACTCTTCGCAGCCTGTTGCGGGGAGTTTGCGTGGAGGTTGAGAAAGAATAAGGCAGCCCGCAATCCGAAATTCACAAGCCTCGTTGAATCACGCTTGTTCAAGTATTTTTTATGTGGTATGGAGCATTCCGTGGCTCTTCCCAAGATACAGGAGACTAATAAGCACAGGCCTCGGTCTCGCTGTCCTTACCATCTTCATCCGAAGCGTCTTTCGAGTCGCAGAACTCAGCGGCGGGTTCAACGGCAAATTGTTCAACGAGGAGATTCCATTCATGATTCTCGAGGGTCCTATGGTCATTATCGCATGCACAGCAGTGTCTGCTTTTCATCCTGGGCTTGCCTTCCAGGGTTCCTGGCATGAGGCCGACTTCATCTTCTGGACGAAATGTACAATTAGAACCCGGAAAAGGCCAGCGGCGGAGGACAAGCCTAACCCAGCATTAAGTGACGAAGAGTCTGGGATGCATACTGGTGTAGCAGAAGTCGCAGGGTTGCCAGCGCGAAAGTGATCCCATCTTGAATGCAAATTGATGGCACTGTGGGGATTGTTTCCTAGCCTTTTGGGTCCGTTTTTTCATTCATTGTTACAGCATGAAGCCATATCCTAACTCGCCGTCAGCCACCATGTCTTCGTGACAGTGATGAGGGTAAAGAAGCCCCAAAGTACTTGACCTGGAACAAGGCTCCGACCACTTCCAGTAAAAATGGGAAAGTGCACTATTCGCTGCAAAAAACTCTTCCAATACTAATTAAGTGAATACGTATTTTATATCCTTAGGGTTACTTGTAAGGTTATCCTAACTTTTTTAATCGTAAGATTTATATAATTTTAGAAAATTTAAATATATTAAGATAAGTTATTAATATTATTTAAAATATTATTCGTATATATTTAATAATATTCGCTATCTAGTAATATATAATCTTAAATTTAATAAATTCGAGAGTAAATTTTAAGAGATACTCTTTCGAAAACTTACTTTAAACTTATTCTCGTCTTATTACGCGACGTAGAGCTATAGAAGTTAAGTAGATTTTATTATATTAATATATAACGTTCCTACCCTTGACACACCACTCAGCCCTATGGCTAGCGGGCCTTGGCAGGAGGTATCTCCTACTATATCATGCCTCCTTCCTAGGTACATACATAGTTCGGTAGTCTTATTATCCTTAATCTACCTCACCCATACTGATATCGCATCTATGCTAGTTCTAACATTATAATAAGGCTCCTTTGTACCCCTCGGCGAAGAGAAATATAATCGAATATACTCCATTCGAATTAGCGGATGAATTCAAAGAAATACGCTGATAGGGGCTTTATTAAGACGCCTTAAATGAATAAGATATCGTATTTCTAAGAAAGTCTATTATATGGGTAACTCGATTTTAAAGAGCCTAACGAAATAGCGGAACGGCCTCGTTAGAATAGTGGGCGAGGGATAAATAAGACACTGAGACTATTTGTACGACTAGCGAATTAATAGTAGAAAGAAATCGTCATAAACCTCACATACAGTGAGCCTACTACAATGATAGCAAACGTTCGATCTCTTTATTAAGTATATCAATAATATACTTATAGTAAGCCTGCTACAATGGCGACGGGAACAGACCCGACAACACGATTACGATCCGACCTCTTCACTGAGCATATCGACAACACATATAGTGAGCCTGCTACCAAATGGCATTCAACACATTCAATTCTTTCCCTACCTACCTATTAAACCTACGAATCAATAAAGACAAAGGATGGAATGGAGGATAGACTTGATGGTAAGAGTATAGGAGATATAAGGGCAAATCTACAGTAAAGCTCCCAGGCTAGGCTGCCAATAGGTGTTGGAGGATAATTGGAAACCTTGCTTTCTCCCTGGCTCAAGAATAAAATCACTTCTGTGCCAAGCCTCGCTGTGAGACCATTCTGGGAAACTCTTATCTTATTAGGAAGTAACTAAGGATTTAGTAGGTCTTGGCCAGAAACATCAAATTTTCTCTGATTTTCTCCATTTCTCTCTGTCTCTATCCCTACTATAACATATCTCAATCAATTTTAGATTTTG